TCAGATGACTCAAAGGCAGATGATCAGGGGAGTTTTCAGGAAACTTTCTTGAGGCAGTTTCAAAATTTAATCACCCCGTTATTGGTCATTGGGCTATTTCTTTCCTCCTTCTCCTCTGGTTCTCCTGATCAGCAACAGGTAAGTGCGTCCATAAATATGTGATATATGTATATTTTTTTGGATAGATTTATGCAATTAGAGTCACATATTTTATCATTTATTTTTTTCTTATGATATAAGGCCAAGTCAATTTTAGTTTATGCAATTAGAGTCGCATATTATATCATTTCGTTTTCCTTTTTTTTAATAATGATATAAAGCCCAGTCAATTCTACTTACAACTCACAAGTTTAAATTGTGCACATTACTAAGGAAAATTCTTTGGAGTCCAACTATTTTTTTTTCTTTCTTTTTTCTCTTTCCTGTTCTATTACATGAGGTGGCTGGGACCTCGTACACATGAGAGGAGAGAGTTGCAAAAGTAGTTTGGCTCTTTAACATCTTCTATAAAATAATAATGTAAAAATAAAAGAAGTTTGTCTCATTTTGATTTAGATTAGATTTGGCATGGGCAACGTCCTTGACTTAACTGAAGTTGGTCTTCAGCTAGATTCAGGCTACATGCTTTGTGACCCTAATTACTGAAAAATTATCCATTCACTTTCATATCAGTAAATTCGTGGAGTTGGATCTGTAATATGTCAGGTTAAAGATCTGAGTCCTGCTCTTAATCTTTTGTGGTGATAGTTATAAAATAAATTAATTGGCATGACCAGTGTAAATTATTATTTTCTATATCATTCTGTTTTATCTTGAAGGTAAGTTCTCTATTCCAGTGAACTAAAAAAGTTCTTTACTCATATGCTATGCAATTTTGTTCTCTGCAGATAAGTTTCCAAGAGTTCAAAAATAAACTTCTGGAACCAGGCTTAGTGGATCATATAGTTGTTTCTAACAAATCAGTTGCAAAAGTATATGTGCGTAGTTCACCACGCAGTCAAACAAGTGATGAAGTTGTCCAAGGACCCATTAATGGTAACCCTGCTCGTGCAAATGGGGGCCAGTACAAATACTATTTCAATATTGGAAGTGTTGAATCTTTTGAGGAGAAGTTGGAGGATGCACAGGAAGCATTGGGAATAGACCCTCATGATTATGTTCCTGTTACATATGTCTCTGAAATGGTTTGGTACCAAGAATTGATGAGATTTGCACCAACACTACTGCTTCTGGCATCCCTCTTGTTTATGGGGCGTAGAATGCAGGGTGGACTAGGCATTGGCGGTTCTGGTGGACGAAGTGGCCGTGGAATCTTCAACATAGGAAAGGCTCAAGTTACAAAAGTAGATAAAAATGCAAAGAATAAGGTTGGCTTTCTGTTTCCCAAGTCCATACTGGTGCTTTTTCGTGTGCATTCAAAATGTAGTTATAATACTTTTCTTAAGCACTCTGTTGCAAAGTTTCATCAGTAACTTACATATTTAATTGGCCCAGATCTACTTTAAAGATGTTGCCGGGTGCGATGAAGCAAAGCAGGAAATCATGGAATTTGTTCACTTCCTCAAGAACCCTAAGAAATATGAGGACTTGGGAGCCAAAATTCCCAAAGGCGCTCTTTTAGTAGGCCCTCCAGGCACTGGAAAGACTCTTCTAGCGAAAGCAACTGCCGGGGAATCTGGTGTTCCGTTTCTATCTATATCTGGTTCAGACTTCATGGAGATGTTTGTTGGTGTCGGACCGTCTAGAGTTAGAAACTTGTTTCAGGAAGCAAGGCAATGTGCTCCTAGTATTATATTTATTGATGAGATTGATGCAATTGGTCGAGCAAGGGGGCGTGGGGGCTTCTCAGGTTCCAATGACGAGCGTGAAAGTACTCTAAATCAGTTGCTGGTAGAAATGGATGGCTTTGGAACAACTGCTGGAGTAGTTGTGCTTGCTGGCACCAATAGGCCTGATATTTTGGACAAAGCCTTATTAAGGCCTGGTCGATTTGATCGCCAAATTTCTATTGATAAACCTGATATTAAAGGTCGCGACCAGATATTTCAGATATACCTGAAAAAAATCAAACTTGATCATGAACCATCATACTACTCCCAAAGACTTGCAGCCCTGACTCCAGGGTTTGCTGGAGCAGACATTGCAAATGTTTGCAACGAAGGTGCTCTAATTGCTGCAAGGAATGAGAGTGCACTGGTCACGATGCAGCATTTTGAGGCGGCTATAGATAGGATTATTGGTGGTTTGGAGAAGAAGAACAAGGTAACTCATTTTTGGCTGGCTCCTTGTTAATTTCATGGTATATAATAACTTTGTTTCATTTCCTAGTATTTTTTACCATTCCCTCCCCGCTCCTCATCTTCCTGAAAAGAAAGACTGATGCTGCATAACATGGGGTTGGGACAACACTGTGTCCTCCCCCACTTAGGAGTCAGGTCATTTCTGTTACGGCTCTGATGATATGCACTATGTCTAGAGAGTTGATTGGAGATAATCATTACATACCGTGGAAGAAAATACACTCCTGCTATCCATCTTCCTAAACTATGGTATTGGGGTTGGAATTGCTCTTCTTATATGACTCTTTGGGTGCTCCTTATGCTGGGTTAGAGAGAATTTTTTCTTTTGATCTGGACCTTGTAGAGCCCATTTTGACCTTCCACTAGTGAGGCAGCAATTGTTAATAAAGGTCCAGATCAAACTTTCAGGTAGCTAGAAGGAATTTATGCTTTAGCAGGGATTTATACTTTATAAGAAAATGTTTCGACTTTGAACCTTCAGTGTGTTTCTTTGTCTTTGTTCTTTTTAGAATGGAATTTTTGACATCTTTGCTTGTCAAACAGGTTATAAGCAAGCTTGAACGCCGCACAGTTGCCTACCATGAGTCAGGGCATGCTGTTACAGGCTGGTTCTTAGAATATGCAGAACCATTGTTGAAAGTGACCATTGTTCCTCGAGGTACTGCTGCACTTGGGTTCGCCCAGTATGTTCCGAACGAAAACCTCCTCATGACCAAGGAGCAGCTTTTTGATATGACCTGCATGACCCTTGGTGGTAGGGCAGCTGAACAGGTAGCTATCTATGAAACTTAATCTTATTTTTTGGATGAGGCTTATAATGCAAATTGTTTATATTACTTCTAGTAATTCTTCATTCTCAAGTCTTGGAACATTATTAGTCGTGTTATGATAGTGATGGTGAGCATATTCTGTGTTGCAGGTTCTGTTGGGAAAAATCTCGACGGGAGCCCAAAACGACTTGGAGAAAGTGACAAAGATGACCTATGCCCAAGTTGCAGTCTATGGTTTTAGTGACAAGGTGGGTCTCCTTTCTTTCCCTCAAAGGGACGATGGGTTTGAGATGGCAAAGCCCTACAGCAGCAAGACTGGGGCCATTATTGATAGTGAAGTGCGAGAATGGGTGGGTAAGGCGTATACACGCACGGTTGAAATCATAGAGGAACATAAAGAGCAAGTAGCCCAAATTGCAGAACTGTTGCTTGAAAAGGAAGTTCTTCACCAAGATGACCTTCTCCGGGTGTTGGGGGAGCGACCATTTAAATCAAGCGAAGTCACCAACTATGATAGATTTAAGGAAGGTTTTGAAGAGAAAGACGATGAGAAAACAGTGGAGATTCCACTAGTTGGGTCCGAGGAAGATGGCTCTTCGCCCCTTGAGCCCCAGGTTCTGCCTACTTAGTAGTTATTGAGGAGGAAGTTGTTTGTAATTGTACATTAAAAAGGAAAATTTTCTTCAACTCTTGTGCTAACTATTTCACATATTTCTTGTATGGACGAAATCTGTATTATACGTTGATTGTTATTTTATGACTACAGCATTTTCTATGATGTCATAGACTAGTCTTGATTTTTCAGATTCTCAACTCACAGTGCGATGTTGATTGTTTCCAAATACATTATTTGTTGGTGACCATGAAGTCAATGACCATGCGTTTTATAAGCATCATTATAGGATTAAGAAATTGGCACCAAAATGCTTGCATGCTTTTGCTTTTATGATTGTAAATTGTACTTTAGTTGGTCAAAGATTTGATGATATAAACAAGATTTTCATGTTATGTTACCAACAAATCAATCATAATCTACCACCTTAAGCTAACAAAGATAAAAAGAAATACACTTTGTTAAAATGATTTCTCACAATTACTTAAAAGAATAGTTTGTTTATGAGTGTGGGGGTTAAGTTTCTATACTTAAGCTAGAAGCTCTTGCGCCTGTGATATCCCTAATGCTTTATTTATTTATTTTCTTTTTCTTGTGAAAGGGAATCCAACCTTTGACTTAATTTTCGCTACGCGTCCGACCACTTGAGCTAACCCCAAGGGCTTGTAGCTTAAGGCTTGAAACGTTTTCAGATATGTTCTTTGCTATTTTTATAATGTATGGTCAGGCACTGATGTTCCTCATGAGCGGCATATAAAAAGAAAGTCAAAAACATGTTAGTTTGTGTTTTTGTTAATTTATTTTCGCTGTTGAATTTTGAATTGTGAAGGGGTGGCCAGTCGCATAACATATGTTTCTAGACGTTGAGTCTGGCTGGACCAATATCAAAGAGGGTGGTAGCTTTGACCTTCCCCCATTTCATTATTATACTTCAGGCCTCCTATATATATAGAGTTCTCTCAATTTAAGCCTGTCATCTGTATCCTCTTCTCTGCACACAACTTCTTCCTCATTCATTCAGTCCTTATTTACATCTCTCTCTCTCTCTGAGGTGCTTTTTCTTCCCCATAATAGCTCTCAAATGTTGCATATTCATTGATGGTTTGGTGTTGAAAAAAAATAAAATTAAGTTGGGATAATTGCTCTCTCTCTCTCTCTCTCTCTCTCTCTCTCTCTCTCTCTGTGATAATGAATAAGAATCTGAAATGAATCCCTACATTGTGATGTTTCAACTAATTCCACTTTTTTAGCTTTCTTTTTCATATCTATGAACTGATGATGCTCCTTTCTTTTGAAGCTTTTAATTTGTAGAGTAGAATGGATTTCCAAAACCAGTATCAGCAGGCTGGTCAGATGCCAAAATATGAGTGTCTTCTCTTTGGTAAGTCTTTTTTCCTTCATTTTTTATTATCCTTCTTTAAGTCATTATAACTAATAACTTGTGTTAGATTTCAATCAACATATTTCTGTGTTGTTCTTTGCATCTGTTACCTAGCTAGCCACTTTTCATTAGTACCAACAATAACATAAAACTATTTGTGTTGCAGATCTAGATGATACCCTTTATCCCTTGAGTTCTGGAATGTCTAAACAATGCACCAAGAATATTGAAGGTACAGTATATAATTCATCACCCTTCTATCCAAAATCATTTTCAGCCATTATCTAATAATTACAAGAAAAAATCAATCTGATTATTCTTGTATCTCTTTTCTCAGAATACATGGTTCAAAAACTAGGCATAGAGGAAACAACAGTCACTCAGCTTAATCAAGTATTATACAAGAATTATGGGACATCAATGGCTGGTCTAAGGGTATGGCCACATATTATAATATCCTAATTTTTTTTGTAAATTTTCTATCAATAAACTTTCTTACAATTTTTTCTCCTGTCCAGGCCATTGGTTATAACTTCGACAATGATGACTACCATAGGTACCAAGTTTTCTCCTCCCTTTACCCTCTTTTATTTATCATTATATGATCTGGTGCATATCAGGAAGTATGAAATTATCTCACAAATTCCCCTTTTACAGTTTTGTTCATGGAAGATTGCCCTATGAGGTACTAAGACCTGACCATGTCCTTAGGACTCTGTTGCTGAGCCTGCCGTATCGAAAACTCGTAAGCTGCAAGTTACATATAGAAACAAGTTGATAGTAACTAAAAAATTTTGTTTCAAGATTTAATTTCTCTGATGATGTTTTGGCTTCACGATATGAAACAGATTTTCTCAAATGGGGACAAGTTCCATGTGGCAAAAACTCTTAGCAAGCTTGGATTGAAGGACTGTTTTGAAGGAGTTGTATGTTTTGAGACTCTGAATCCCATCATTGATAATGAAGACTCAAAGTCCACAGGCTGCAGAAAGGTTTTTGACCATTCTTGTTTATTTGATGCTGGATCAGCACTTCCAGTGACTCCAGTTGTTTGCAAACCATTTGCGAATGCATATGAACAAGCATTTCAGAAAGCCAATATTAACCCTCAAAGAACTGTAAGACAACTATCTGGCACTTCTAATAACCCTTCTTAATTGTTTTTAAATTTTCTGTGAACTTTTACTTTTCCCCCTTCTTCGAACATTTCCAATGAACTAAGCAAATGCGTCGTTTGACAACCTATGTGACACTTTACTCCGAAGGAAGAGGCAAATAGTTAATATAAAAATAATGTGTCCCCAAATTGCCTCACGACTTTTCAACAAGGTATTTTGCCTTTGCCAAGAGGTGAGGAAAATTTTCCTTTGCTTCTAGCCTTGACCATTTGGAGCTTAAGAATGTGGCAAGGCAATTTTAATTTGCCTTGCTAGATACCTAACCCCTTGAACATGCTCTTGTTTCTTACCATGCATTCCTCAACCAAAAAAACTTCAAAATGACCCTTTTTTTTATTTGTTTATTTATACATGTCATGTATAATTCAGTTGATGTAACAGTGAATTTACCACTTATTGCAGCTCTTCTTTGATGATAGCATCCGCAACATACAGGCTGGAAAGGATATGGGTCTTCATACTGTATTGGTAAGTTATAAAAGAAGGGGATTTTTCAGTTCTTGTTAAATACGGATCCTGAGTTCGAATCTTATAAACGAAAGTTTGTTGTATTGTGGAATAAAATTCTTAATAACACGTTGGCACCAAAATGAACAAATGATGTATGTATGTATGTATGTATGTATGTATAGGTGGGCACTTCCAACAGAACAAAGGGTGTGGATTATGCAATAGAGAGCATCCACAATATCAGAGAAGCACTGCCAGAGCTTTGGGAAATCAATAATAAGAAAGACATAAGCAGAAGCTTTTCTGGTAAGCTGGCAATGGAGACATCAGTGACTGCCTAACTATATATAGCTTCAAAGTCCTTTGAGTAAAACAAGCAGCATGCAGGCCAGAAGTCGGAGAAAATCTTAAGTGTAACCAGTTTGTATACAATCATGTGTTTATCGCTCTAAATCTTTTCCTCCAACAACTGGGTTAGTATATATATTTACATGTTTATTCTAATACATGTATGATCAATGAAAGAGAAATCTGCTTTTCTGATTTTTGATGATCAATCACACCCCTCTATTCCTCACAACCTCTATTGATCTTTACAAGAAAGTACAAAAGATTAACTCGGACGAACTACAAATAATTGGAGCAAATTAAAATCCAGAAAGGGAAAAATGACAATTATACTGAAAATTATTAATTGTACAAGACAACAAAATTGGTGCCTATTATTGATGAAAATTATTGAAAAGTTTGCTGATATCCACCATGCTGTCACTCATTTATTGGACAGCTGTGCTTGAGCCTTTGAGGGTACCACAATGGATAACAACATGCACCGACGAAATTTAATCTCACAATTCTAGACAGCAATTGATATGATTTGTTCATAATATCGACCTTTCACCCCCTTCATTTCTAACAATCAAAGTATTCACACGAGCTATTGGTGTCTGCTGTGACAACTTTGGGTTTTCGTAATACCAATCTCATACTGAAAAAATTGTCCTAACCTAAACAATGAATAAATAAACATCATGATAAGATATCAATCTTTGAGTACTAACTAGTGGGATCTTTTTCTTTTTCTTTTGGGTTGAGAGAACCTCGACGGAATGAGGGAAACTTTATTTATAAAATGAAGAATTACAACGGGGAGCAAGACACCTGACATCGACTCAACAAATCACATAATATGGCGTCCTGAATAAGATCAGAGACACCTCAAATCAAATAAAGTTATTCACATTATGCAGACCGAATCGAGCAAGTCGGTGTACAACACTATTTGCTTTCCTATGAGTAAATTGAAAAAGAGAGTCAAGAATCTATTTTTGAAGATGCTTTACATCTTCAACAATGAGTCGGTGTACTAACTAATGGGATCGTTGTTCTATTTGTTCATGTTGCGTTGTATTCCGAATCCTATTTGTTTTTAGTAATTAAGATGTCATGTCATCTACTATATCAATTAAATATCTTCGTAAAAGAAAAGTTCTCCACACGAAGGATTGACAATGATACCACCCAAAATCAAAATGTTTTACTTAAATAGTAATTAAGATAAGATAAAGGCTTAATATCCAACAAACAGGATATCAAGATAGTTTCATGGAAGCGTAAATGAACAACATACACACTAAAATCACCATATTACCATTTATATGTTTGAAAATAAGATCTATTAAAGTTCAAGTAAATGAACGGAAAATACTATCTATTTATATAAAGTTGCTGGAGTGCTCTTAAATTTTAAGTTGTAATGAGGAGAAATTCTTGAATTCGACTGTTGGATCTTTGAGTGTGTTGTCATATACAGCAGACGAAGACAAAAACTTATAATGAAAAGGAAGAATCCTAGGAAGAGAAAGCCTTCTATTGTTTGAGGATTTTTGAGTTAGATTAGGTGTTGCAACTTGCAATACCTAAATAAGAAAAGATTATTTGAGTAACAACTCTCCCATAAAAAAGGCTCAAAAAATGCTTTGTCATGAAGATTTTTTTGTTATTCAAAAAAGCATCAAATCAAAGTGAAGCACAGGGACGTGGCTAACCGGGTACGTATAACGTATGCCACAAAAATAAAATACCAAAGGCTCCTGGCGATAACGACACGTGTCCTAATCAAACGCGATTTTTTGCAGGCATCTCGCGTAAAGCAGGCACGTGTCAGGCTCGCATAGGGCCACGTAATGCGGTCAAAAATGGGTTATGACTTTGACGTTCGAAGAAATTGAAATCCAATATTAAAATTACGGGTGTGTGGCTATTTAAACACTTTCATGCTTCCGGTTATTCTCTCTCTCTCTCTCTTCCCTTCTAAAAGTCCTCTCTTTTTCTCTCCATCTCTCTGTCTCTCTCTCTAGTATCTACAACTGCGGCCATTTGGATCTGGTAACGCTCATTTTCTAGTCTTTGAATGCTTTTTTTATTACTTTAGAAGTTTGGATCTTTTTCTTTATATTTTCAATCACAATGGTTAACGTGTGAGAAATCAAATACTGGGTTTTCTTTGTTCATTGTGATGAAGCATTGTTTTCTGATTTCTCGTTCACAATTGTTGAAGTTGTAGAAATCAAATATTGGGTTTTATTTTGTCCATTGTAATGTTTCTTCAATGTCTATACTTTCCGGGGTTTGAGTGATCTTCTTGCTTTAATCGGGTGTGGGGTGTGAATGTTTTTGCACCTGTGATAACAGAAATGTGATGTGTAAGTTTGTTACCTTTTCTTTTGTGATATAGGGCCTTTTAGTTTTGGATTTTTTTGATGGTTTAGAAATAAAAGATTGAACTTCTTGTGAGGTTTGGGTTTGTAGGCATTGTGATTTTCCATCAAAATGAAGTTTTAAAATGTAAAACATTGGAAGTTTTATTACTACTTTTAGCATTTAGGATTTTGTGATTGAAGTTGTTTATATGCTTAATGCTTTTCTTCAATTCCTCTGGTTTGAAGCCTTCTAGATCAAGATGGAAAACGAGGATCAATATCAGCAGTATGACTGCCTTCTATTTGGTAAGCCTTAATGCACAGGTTTTGTCGATTTGAAATTTATGGTTCTCGAAGGCGGAATAACAACTAGCTGTTTTGATTTCCAGATCTAGATGACACCCTATATCCTCAGAGTTCAGGGATTTCAGTACAAATCACTAAGAATATTCAAGGTGAGGAATGCTTTATGATTATGGATTTTAAAGCTTTTATGTGAAATATCCATTGTTTGAATAAAATTTCTATGAATTTTTCGCTGTAGAATATATGCTTCAAAACCTTGGGATGAAGGAAAGTGAAGTTCCTGAATTGTGTATTTCATTATACAAGGATTACGGGACGACGATGGCTGGTCTTAAGGTAGGGTGATTATGATCCCTTCAACTTTTTAATTTTTGTTTCTAAAAGTATTTAAGGCAGAACAGAATGATAAATGAACTTGGTTTTGCGTTTTTCCTTATTTCCAGGCTCAGGGCCATAACTTCGAGTATGATGACTTTCATAGGTACCAAATGCTTAACCTTAATTTGTGCTCCTATTGTTTACGACAATCATGTGGTCTTGGTTTGTCACTATAATCATTTTTGCAGTTTTGTTCATGGGAGGTTGCCCTACGATTCACTTAATCCTGACCCTATTCTCAGGGGTCTTTTACTTAGTCTACCTATCCGGAAAGTAGTAGGTTTTATTGATCAATCTATACTCTCAAATGTGGTCTTTAAAAAAAAGGGGAATGTTTTAACAACAATGCTTTCTTCTCGTGTTATGTCGGTCATTGTGTGTAGATTTTCACAAATTCAGACAAGGCACATGCCGCTAGTGTGCTCGGGAAGCTTGGAATAGAGGACTGCTTTGAGATGATTATATGCTTCGAGACTCTGAATCCCACCAACAATGCTGATGATTCTGTTGGTGCCGAAGAAACTGAAAATATTGAACATCCAAATACTGGTACTGTAATTTCAAAGACCCCAGTTGTGTGCAAACCGTTTGAGCATGCATATGAAGAAACTTTTAAGATTGCAAACATCAACCCCAAAAGAACGGTAAGATTTTTTTTATATTTTAACTACGGCAATTGACTTAGCCATAGGTTAGGTCTCATAATTGGCAGGGTACTATTTGAAATAATAGGGTGTATACTATTTCTTAGCACTGTTCAATTCATTTTGTATACTTTTACTTGTCTTCATCAACATTCTTCAATTTGTTTTGTGATTTCATTTTCGTTTCCAGTTATTCTTCGACGATAGCATTCGCAATTTGCAAACTGCAAAGGAGTTGGGGCTCCATACAGTAATGGTAAGTTACTAATACCGAATTCGGGCAAGTAAAATTTTGCTGTATCTGAGAAATGAGCTAAGGATATCATTCTCACCAATATGGTTTATGAAATTGTTGTGTAGATTGGCACATCTCACCGAACTAAAGGTGCGGATCATGCATTTGAGAGCATCCATAATATCAAGGAAGCATTGCCAGAACTCTGGGAAACCACTGAACAGTGTGAAAATGTTCGATATTCGCGAGAGATTGCAATCGAACAACCGGTACAAGCTTAGGCCATTTTTAAGTCGTCTGAAATGTTGAGAGCTGCATTCATTACAGGCAACCATATGGCTGATGTGTTTTCTTATTTGTTTATGTGATTTTCTCGTACTTTGGAATTGTAGAATTGTATTATATATGTGAGCTTAATCTAGCAATACTGTTTCTAACATGCTGGGAAGCCCCTTCTTTTAATGACAGTAAAACTGTTTCTACCATATTTATTTTTCACAAAGTCATGTCCATGTTTTCTCATACAAATTGGGTGACGGTTAAGATATGTCACATTCTACAAATAGTTTGTTCTACGTTGCCTAGGCTTTTATGTTCCTTTTCAACTTCCAATTTATTTTTTATATTAACTTCCAATTGGTATTTCCAAAGATAGGCTACTCATTGATTTGCTAGGAATATGATATTATTTGAGACCTAAGAGCATCTACAATGGGCTCTTTAAACTACATCCTTAGACAAATTTTAGGGAGGAAGTTGAAAAAATACAACTCCAATCATGCTCCTTATCCACCTACTAAAATAAGGAGACCTCTAGGAGCTCCTAAATATGAGGAGAGAGAAATGACTCATAGTGGCTCCTTATAATTTAGTGTTGCTTTATTTCATAAGTATTTCAAACCTTTGATTAATGCTAATTATTTGTATATTATTTTTTAATAGATATTGACCAATTAAAAAAGAGTTATAGCATTTATGACTCCCAAAACTAGAAAGCATGATTGAAGTTTAAATTTTTTAGAGGTCCTAAAATAACTTTTATATGTTTTTAGCTAAAATTTAATTAAAAAATACAGAGCATGATTGTGGAATGCTCCCTAATTTTTTTAGTTAAAATTTAGCTAAAAGCACACACAAGCTATTTTAGGAGCACTGTATAATATTTAAACTCCAATCATTTTAATTTAATATGATTGGTCCATCTTTATAAAAAAAAAATTAGATAAAAAACTAGTTAGCATTAATTAAAAATTTAAACTATGCATAAAACAAAACAATCCAAAAATCCAAGGGGCTAAGCCCAGATTAATTCTTGGCCAAACACAGATAATTGAACGCAAAAGAAGCTCAATCGGGACAAAAGAAAATTTGTAGGACGCACCAATACAAGCTACGGGCCACGTATCATGCCAAGCAAGCACATGCAAAAGGGGCCAGGAGCATGACAACTTTACAAAATCACACTCACATACCCATTCAGTGTTACTTGGCCTGATTATAGCCTATCACGGCATAATAAAACTCAAGCACAAGCGTAGGTGTCATGCAAGAAGAGACATTATTCTAATACCAAGCTATGCCACAAGCTTAAGTGGGCCCAAGCCACAAAATTACCCGGGGCTTGCTGAGAAAGTTGTGGTGTGGATAGGTACAAGCGCTCACAAGGCCCATTTGAGGGATTAAGGAATGAGAATTTTGGGCTACTTGGGAGTACCAAAACTCAAGCCCATTTCTTGGCCCCAAACACATGGGCTAGCATGAGAGAGAGAACATGACCCAATGCCTTAGGAAGAATACAGTAGTTTGCTTAGAAGACCCTATGTTAATTAGAATGCCCAAATACTTTGTTAAAAACGCGACAGGCAAACTGCTTCCAGCAGCTTGACGAAAACAAGCTGACCAGTTGATTGTAGAGTAGAATATCACCAACCCAAAGCCTTGGGGAAAAGCCCAGCCCAACACTCTATAAAATATCTAGCAAACACGTTCAGCCTTTGCCCAAAGGAGTCAACGGAAGCCAACACAAAAACCAGAGGAAATCCATGCGAGCAAGAGGTTTATTCGTTGGGTAAACAATATGTCCATTCCTCCTTTTCCTCTGTTAGCTCGCATAGGAAAAATCAAGAAGAAAGTTAGTGGCACTTCATCCCTATGGAGAAAGACCAACTATGCCAAAACTTTGGAGCCACAAAGAGCTCCTTACCTATGCACCTTGGATGGGAGAATTTCACCAAAGAAGATTAAGTGGAAAGAAACAACGAAAAAGGAGGGAAAGGGTTAGATGAAATTAGGGTTCTTTGTGCCTATAAAAGAGGGCTTCTACTACCGAGGAAAACAACCCATTCAGAGCCTGACCAAGCTTTGTCAAGCAACTGAAAATTTACTCAAGCCACCCAATCTTCTTCTTAGTTTGTTTTTCTTCTTCCCTTAAGATAGAAATCGTGCTAATTTTCCTCTGCCTTACTCTAGATTATAGATCTCCACAAGAAATTCAAGCTTTTTATCTCTCTCAAAATTGCTAAACTTGTGAAAGCTTAGCTCTCATGCCACAAGCTCCTCAAGCTAAGTCACTCATCAATTTATTATGATTATTTGGCTGTTAGTGAAAAGAACCTAAGAGTGTTTTTTCTAAAGTTTCAAAAGACTTTTCAAAAACCTTTTTGGGAGCTTGGTTTTAGAACTCGGGCACTTGGGGAAATCCTGTTCGTTTTCTTCTTACGGCAACCCAAGCCCATTCGTTAGGCTGCTAGAACAAAAAGACCCCTACAATTATAAAGAGCCATTAAGAGTCATCTCTCTCTTCATATTTAGGAGCTTCTAGAGGTCTCATTGTTTTAGGAGGTGGATAGTGAGTATGTCCAATTCCTCCCTAAAATTTGTCTAAGAATGTGATTTAGGGAATCCATTGTTGATGCTTTATTTATTTGATATCCGCAGCTTATCCTTTTTTAAAAATAGCTACTCCAAAAAAGTAAAAAGAAAAATGAAAATCGATTGGAATTTTTTTTTCATGAAGGACCTGAACCAACGTTCCACTGAGAAAGAATATTGAAAGCCTTCGTGAAGAAGCACACTGTATAAAAAAAATTTAGTTATTTCAAACCGTTTTTAAACTTAGATGCTCGTTATGTATCCAAAACTTTTTTTTTCAAAACAATACTGTCTCTCTTTTCTATGATCAATTTTAGAATAATTAATTTTTAGCATTCATCCTACAGTCTTCACTCCCAAAATAATGCAGATGTTAGGTTAGTTGGCTAGGGCAGTGTACCCAACCCTTTGTACTCGAGTTCGATCCTCTTCTCTACAGTTTAGAAAAGTCTAGACCATCACTAGTATAAAATTTTTTTTTAAAAAAAATCCCGAAATGATTTTAAATCTTCTAAATCATGAAAACATGAGCGTATATCATTTATAGCCTAAACCTTTTTATTTTTATTTATATATATATATATATATTATTTTTTATTTATAATAAATAACACTAACCTCCCTTCTCATATGGTAGATTTCAAATTACAACAAGGCTCCGTTTGGTTCATGGGAATTCAATTGCTTTTCCATATTTGGTAAGTCCAGGCATGAAAATGGTTGCCTGGCACATGGGAAAGTAGGGGGAAAGTGAAACCCTCCTCTTAACTTGGGTTTTGTTTTCCCTCATTATGAGAAAGTTTGGGAAAATGAGCCAACATTCAATGCACATTTTCATGATTATTCTGTCCCTATGAATAATTTATAATTAAAACGTATCATTAAATGCATTCTTTTTTTATTTGATTTAATATGGGTATAATTAGAAAATTATACAAACTTTGTTTTCCATTCCTACTTAAAACAAACATGGGAAAGGAAACAAAGTGAAATCTCCCAGTTACTTTCCCGACATTATCAAACGTGGGAAAATAATCTTTCATTCCAATTCCTTGGGAAATGACATGGGAAATGATTTCTCCTAAAATCCATTCCGTGAACCAAACGGGCCCAAGTGTTGTTTCTCAAAATAAGAGGAAGGTTAATGTAAAGCAAACTGAACCTCAAGGAAGGTTTGCATAATTTACTCTATTTAAATTGATTGGGGCATAAATTTTGAGTTGAAGCAAAGCCCCATGAAGAGCAGGAAAGAACTCGGGACAATATCCAACAATTCAAGAATATAAAGATATATTATAAATATATGAACAAAATTCCACATAATCTGTACGACATGGAAGGTATGTTTGAATTGTCATTTCATACCAACTTCTGGTTCATATGGATATTTACACAAAGACAAAAAGCATCATTCATGTGCATAACACTTTCTAGGGTTGGACCTTCCATTGCCACATCACTTGACTGTTTCATCTAAGAAAGAATTGATGGAATATAAATGCCTTCTCTTTTTTCTTTTGCTTTGGATGAAGGATATGCCTTTAACTTCACCCTTTCAGTGAATACTTCTTCCCCGTGAATGCTTGGAACTTTGGCTCATCTGTCTTTTGAGAAGGATCTTCTGCCTTCTGAGAAGGCTCTTGCCTGCTGTTCTTTGGGGCAACCTGGGTTTACAAGTTCAAACCAAACAGATGAGATACTTTAAAGTTAATAAGAACAGACAATCAATTAAATTGGAGAAAAAAAAGGACGTACTTTTGGGGTTTCATTTGTGGGCTGGTTGACATTTGATCCAAACACAAGCTTTCCAGAGTGTTGACGTGCAGCACAAGTTGACGACTTCGAACCCTTGGTTCCATTTTCACTCTCCAGTTGGTGCTGCTTGAGTATGGGAGAGGAAACTTGTGCAACTGATTGTGTCAAGGGTTTCCCATCCAATCGTTTTCCTGAACCAGTAAAGGGACTGAATTTTGGTATCTTTTCAGGTGGTTCTTCTTCGGCTGAAAGATGCATGTTAAAAATGGAAAATTGATGTCATCCGTTAAAAAGGAATTCTATCATCTTATAAGCAAAAAATTAAGGTCAATAGTTAGAACTGAACCATCTTTCAAAATTATTTAAACAGAATAACATAACTACCTTCTATTAGTCTCTTCTTTGACGAAGTAATAGGTGCTGGTTTCTCGGGTTCCACATAATCAAGAGGAGGGGCAAAATCAACCTCACAGTCCGTCTCAATTATACTGATTGCAGAGGAGGGTTTTGTTTCAACTATGTTAATGTAATACTTCTTATTGTTATAAGGAACCATGATAGTGTCACCAGTGGTTAAACAAGAGTAGCTCCTCAATGTAGTCTCCAAACTGAAGGAAGAAAAGTGAGGGTATAAATATTTTATTATTACACTCAAAGTGCAATGCAATTACCCAAATGAAGATATCAAAGTGATTAACTAACATGGCTTTGGGATTTGAGATATCAAGAAAGTCCTTGGTGTGGGGCTGCAACTTCACATACGTTCCCTTTACAAGGCTTTTGTTTTTCACTTGACAAATGTCTCCCTCTTGAAGGAGCATGTTCTCCATCATCTACAAAGAAACAAAAGAACATAAATGAGTAAGCATCACCATATCTGGAATGCTGCTGCAACAAATTCCAAGAAAGATATGTGTACCCAGTAAGGTAAATAGATTAGGCCCTCATCAGCAACAAATTCCAAAACCCCACAATGAGTAACTCGGTCAACAGTAGGATTGTTAAGTTCAAACAACATAGGGTAGTCGATCTGTAAAGATGCTGGAGAAGAAAAGCTCGTATTTAGTTGGCATATCATATATCAGGACCCAGGGTTACATAAGTTGAAAATCCAATTGGCAACAGCAGGACAAGTAAGAGAGAAAATTATCAATTTACCGAGGCGGTCAAGAGCTGAGGGAGGCATTATAACTGGAAGGACAAAGAAAACAAACAAATAATTAAGTATTTAATACTATCAAGCAAATGAGCAAAGCGGATGCCATGGATGGTAAAAAAAAACCAGTCAGGCAGATAAACATACTTTTATCACCCTTTTCCAGATGTGACTGTAAAAGATCAAAAGTAAGAGGAATCAGTATAAACAATTAGGAAGCTGGCCAAAGAATAAGTTCACTTATAACTTGGAGGGCATAGGGAAAACTTTCAACTTAATTAGCGAAATTTTTTTGTGAGAACTTAATTAGTAAATTTTCCAGGTTCAGAATTCAAACCTTGTCAATAAACGAGACAGGGTAACAACGATAACTCTGCTCAAAAGCAGAAATGCGATAGTTTTCATGAGCCTGTAACACAAAAATAATCAGAACAGTGAATAACATTTATCAGCCAAACAAGTTCAAAACAATTAGATCAATGGATACAGTGTGAAGTAGAAGCAAGCAACACTCAAAATAGTAATCTAAGCTCATTAACTGATACCCATCACTGTTTTAAACAGTCCGATTGTCAAAATCTGATGCCAAATTGTTACCCAATCGCATAAACATATTACTCCCAAACTAAAACCTCCTCTATCCTACAGACATGCATTAAACCGTTCCTCCTTATCCCATGATTTCCATTCAAGCTAACCCATTAGAAACTATACTGCCAACACAATCAAGTCCTTAACTTTATTTTGAATTTCAATTTAAGAAAACACAAACTACAAGGAAAATAAAAGAACGTACCATTTTCACTGGGTCCCAGAACTGATTGCCTGTCAAATAAGCAAACAATGAGAAAACATCAAAAAAAGAAAAAAGAAAACCCAATTATCAATCTAAATCCAAACTTCAGAATATCAGTCAACCCATATAGATTCTAGATATACAGTTACAAGAAAAAGAAACCCACTCTGTTCAAAAAATGAAACAAAGAGAACAAGAAGAAAACTACTATCTGACTACCAACAAAAGCATTGAAGATAGAAGACCCAGAAGAAAATAGGCACAAAAAGTTATTGAATTTTGATGCTGTTAAAACAGAAAGAAGGGATTTTGATGAAGAGCTGGGCACCTTTTTGTCTGTAATGGATGATGGTTGAGTTGAGGTGCTGGGTTTTCTTGCGGCTTAAGGAGAGCCAGCTGGGTCTGAGACTCTGAGTCTCTGAGTCTGAGCAGTGAATTTGTGAGATGGTGGGTTCCGAGGTTTTTATAGGTTAAGAGAGAGTGTTGGATTCGGATGGAAAAACTAAAGCGGGTCCTCGTGGGTTTGTGGCTCGTGGAATACGAGGAGTGGTTCAATTTTTTATTATTTTTATTATTTTTACTATTGTTGTTTTCTTCTTCTTCAATTTTTTTTTGTACCGCATTTTCTTTTCTTTTATATCAATTTGCAAGCAATCACATCCCAACAAAATTCCTCGGTTTTTGTTTTTTTAACAAAAGATTTGATATATAGAAGATACTTTCATAACAGGTTAATACACTAAATAATTAGGCCTCGTACTCTTTACAAATATTTGTCATTGACATCTCCGAGAGTCAAACATGATACATTCTTTAATTAATTAAAGACAAATACCACTAAATTAAGGTTAATTACCATAAAATTGTAATCCAAAAGAAACGAAAAGTTATGAAAAATAGCCCAATTTGAGCGCTTTAAAGAATTTTGCCTCTTTTACATTTTAAATTTAACCAAGCTGCAAGGTATGAACGAGCATTATTCTATGGGACCTATATGATACTTTAAAAACAAAGTTATTTAGGGTGTTCGTTGATTCAAATATTTTAATATTTAGAATATAATCCAATGTACATTAGATTTCTAATATTACAATTTAATTTAATTAAATCCAATCCAATTTGTTTCAATTCACATGGGTGATGGTTGGTTCTTTCTTAATAACCAAAAAAGAACTATTAAATCATTAAACAATTATCTCAAACTTGATCAAATCACAACCTTAAAAATTTAGGGTGCAAGTTTGAAATTAACCTTTCAACAACAAAAAACCTTACTTGAATTCAACTCTCTCTCTCTCTCTCTCTCTCTCTCTCTCTCTCTCACACACACACACACACACACACACACACACAAGTATTTTGAGGCGGAATTCTATAGTGATGGTGCCATATATGGACTCCTCATGTGGACCTTCATATTAGTCACATGATTATTTTATTAAAATTAAGTGAAGTTACTATTCAGATGAATCTTGTAGCTAATATAAAAGTTCACATATATGGTCCATATATATATGACACCCTCGTCATAGAATGACTTGTATTTTGAGACTGATTTGGGCCTTTGCAGTCCAGATCTAATCCAGTAACATTTGGTACTCTGATTGGCCCAAAGGCTAGCCTAAAGGAAGCCCATCACTAGCGAGGGATAAATTTGTCTTTTTGTTCTGTAATTTTCCATTCTTCCCCAAAACAAAACCCTTGTTCCTCCTCTTCGTCCCCTCCTGAAGTTGGTGAACAAATAAAGGAAGCTTCTTTCCGTCACTGCGAGACAAAACTGAGCCTTTGCAGAGAAATCAAGCTTAAAGTTACCGCCTTGAGCTTTCAATTGGATTTCAGAAGAAAAATTACGACGCCGATATGGCGAAGCGAGAGCTTTCCAGCACGCTTAGGAACTTAAAGGTAAAAGAATTGAAGAAAACAACTACACGAAACACAGTCCTTTTTCTTTTTGTTGTTATTTTAATTAATGTTCAGTATTAGTTTCTGTTTGAAGTATATTTTTTTTATAAACCCAGGTGAAATTTGATCAGGGGCTTGCTTAAATTCATCTTGGTGTTCTTTAATTTTGAATTTTTTTAACTTTCTGGTAAACCCATAATTAGTTTGTCAAATACATTAATGCATATGGGTTGATTTTGTTTTGTTTTGGGTTATTACCATAGTTCATGCAAAGAGCAACTCAGAGAGAGGAGAAGAAAGAAGAAGATGTCAAACCTGCTGTCGATTTTACTTTCCCTGCCAGCCAAATAAGGAAGTGGTAGCTTTTCTTTCTGTTTATTCCTTGTTCTGATATTTCTCAAAGTATTTGAGCTGTTTTTCTTCTTGGGTTACATTAATGAAAGAATATATAATTTTAAGGTTCAGTGTGGATTATTAGAATTTCGTTATAGTTTTATGTCCACCTCCGGTATAAGCATATATTGTCTTTTGCAGTACTTCGCTTCTTGAACTTTTTTTGTTGAATTGCCACAGGGAAAAATTATTTTGTTGCAGTATCTAAAAAGTTGAAGAAATTTTGGATTCATTAGAATTGCAATATTGTCTGGATTGTGATAGATGATTTTTTGGAGAATCAGTTTGTAGCGCCTAACCGTAAGCTACTACTTTGAAGGGCTAATTTTACTTAATTAGCTTTCATAAGGTTACCCTTTTCGGAAGCCTTTAGTATGTTGATGCAAGGCATTAATGACTCAACATAGATGCCCTACGGCGTCAATTAAGATAACTCTCTGCATTGAACCAGAGATGATTGCAATTACCTGCTATAGTTATTCATTAGTTACATTAATCCACCTTCTTTCTTCAAATTTGACATACTTCATGTGGACGGCTTTGCTCATGCTACAGTATGGTCATAATGGAAGGTGACCCCCATCCTGGAGCAATTAAAGGGCGGATGTCGTTTCAAAGTTTTAATCCATTGATTGATGTGAGTATAAGGTTCATGGACCTTAAGATTTCCAATTACTATTACTTTATTGTGTACTTCTTGATTGGCTTTTGTTCACCTTACATAAAAGTGTTTCCATGGTAGAAACTGAATGAAGCATCGGCAAACCCTTGTCAGCCTGCTGCCACTTCTTCTGGTATCCAAAGTGAAAAAGGGTCATTTAGGTGGGTGATTGGACATTTCAGTCTTTTAATTATTTGTTTTATTTATAAGAATTTATTGTCTCTGTAAATGAATTTTTTTTGCCCCAGTGGGTTGAGACTAAGAAATATATGTTGCCTAAATTTCTTTCAAAAACTTTGGTTTCTGCTCTCCTATCTTCTTTCTCCTATTTGCTATCCACAGAGAAAATGGGTCCTCAACGGATGAAGCAGAATGTTCAAATACTAATAAGTCGAATTGTGAGCGTGATGGAGACCATAAAAGAAAACAGTCTGAAGTAGTTTCTGGAAAACAATATCCGAACAAGTCTCCCAAAGTTGATCAAGGTGATCAGCTGTCATCACCAAATAAAAGTAAAGGCTCGTTCAAGAAACCAAAGGGTGAAAAGCTGGACTGGAACATTCTTAGACCGACAAAAAATCAAAACAAAAGAGGTTGAACATAACTAGGTGATTCACTTGCAGTTGTGTGAATTTTATTTTTGATTGGCTTTCAGGCCCCTATAATTTGTATCTGTAATCTTGCTGTCAAATTATCGACGCTCAGTTTTCGTAACTGCCAGTTAAAGTTGTTAGCTTTCAAGCTGAACTGGCTTCTCTATTTCCGACCCAAAAAAACATAAAGACTTCTAGCCAGTGCTGCTAGGATAATTCAAACTGGGTTATGTTTGAAAGTTGTGGTTATTTGTTACCCTCTAGTGCCAAAGGCTAATTTTTTCCCAACTTCTTGCACTAGTTGGAAAAGATGAATGCATAAAGTTTTACTAGTTTTGGCATTATTTATTCCAATCAAGCTTAGAAAACATTGATTACATTATTATGAGCTACACTTTTGGCACATATGTTGCTTTGAACATCACAAGACCCATCCTAAAGTCTGATTTTCCAAAAGAAAATTTTGAATGTCAAGGCCACTGATTTATGTGCCATTCTGGGTTCTGTATAAACATGAAGGAATTTTCAGGATGCCGTAGTTGTAAAGATATGCATGGATCTAAAAGAGTGGCCCTTGCCCAGCCCTCTTTGTCTGCGTCACTGTCCAAAATAGGGATTGTGCATTACATTTATCTGTTAGTATTTGGATTGTGAATGTTGGTTGGTTATGATTTACTGGCACGCTAGTATAAAGGGAAAGGTATATTTTGCAATGACCTATGCTGATGTTATGTTTCAAATTCCTAATTGTTCTTGGTATAGGACATTTATCCTCCTTTCTTGTAAATTGAAATTTCGCCAGTTGATTGATGAGAAATAATCCCTTATTTGTTTCACTACTTATTTCCGACCCATCTTTGATGATTTGAAAGGCTAAGATTCCTTGCAAGGTGCAAATACTTGCTTGGATAATTAGTTCTGGAAGAATTATTATCTGTGATGTAATTCAAAATACGAGGCTGAACATTAGCTTATCACCTGAAAGAGTTGACCATTTATTTTTCACTACCCCCATTGCTTTGAGGTTGTGGAATATGTTGTTCTGGTTCTGGAGAGCAACATTGGCTTGGGTGATCCTGTATTCTTGTGCAGCAGCAGTCGAATTTTGTGCTTTAGGACAAGGAAAAAAAGGCTAATTTGTGGAGTTGGTAGTATGTTTCCAAATTTTTGGGTTGTTTGGTTGGAGGAGAGGAATGGTAGCATTTTCTAGGGGAAAAAAGTAGGGAGGGGATATCATGTTGAATAGGGTCAAATTTTGGGCACCCCTATGGGGTTCAGTCTAATGAAGGTAGAGATATTCCATTTTTTATTTAATGCTTGATTAGAGGATGCATTATTACAAAAACTTGGCAGCGGCACCGCATCTCTTGATGAAGAACGGCAACAACATGGTTCTCAGTAAAGCTGGATGCAAAAGAACAATACAACACATAGTAGGGAAAGCGTAGCCCGATGTGTGCGAGACCTAGTAGATTAGTGTTTGATAAGCATGTGTGAGCTTGTAAATCAATGACTTTGAACATTGATATTCTCTTTATTGTTCTGGCTGGAGCCTGCAAGATGAGTATCTCGATTTGAGGTGATGGAGTGTTGCACGGCTTGAAAGAGAGATGAATTGATAGAATTTTGATCCAAAGTGTATGCTATTGGATATTATGATTCAAATTCGGAATTTGTCTACATCAATACTGTAAAGACGTTAGTATTTTTCAATCAGTCATTTGGATAATAAAATAGTTGTTTTCTTTTCAAGTAAGTAACAAATCATGACGATGTTATAAATATGCTGTTAACCAGCAATTAGTGCTATGAGACAGATCATGATACCAATAAATTTAAGAACTATGAGAGTCTATAGACTACATGCAAATCAGTACGTAATAAAGGACACAGCTAACCTTGCCCCCTTTATAGCTAGTACATATACATCATGCTCTAAGCAGCTCTGGCTAATCTCTGCCAGGCTGAATGCTAGCGCGAAACACATCGGGCTACGCTTTCGATTTGATGCCAGAGAAGCCAAAGAAGAATGTAACATGGATAGCAACCCTTGAAAGTTCTTGTTACAGTGATTATAACTGTGGGAACAAAGATGAAAGAGAAATTTCTCATGGTATGAGGTCTCCTTCTGTAAGTCTCAAACAGGTTTCCAGTAAGATATAGCATGAATTATTCTGCCTTTCCATCCCTGCAAGACCCACATGCCATCCTCGTCAACAACGAAATCTTTATGGTATTCTGACGTTACCATACTCCTGACTTTCTTCAAGATCTCCTGGTCCAGTGGTAACTGCCTAAACCCAGCTCTCTTGTTTCTAAACTGCCACTGCTTGTATGTCTCAGGCCTTTCAAACCTCCTTGAACCTTCACATGCTATTACATTGATAACATCCCTGCCATATACTTCTTTTTCAAAGAGTAGCCTCTGTTGATCTTCTCGGGGCAGAGTCTCCTCGAACATGTCGAACAGTGAAGAGAAATGGAAGAGTGCTTCCCGGAAGCGTGTGTCGAAGAAGGGTGCATTATAGGACCCATTGACTACACCATGGATAAATATATCTGGGTTAATTCTCCTGATCAACTTCAAAACTGTATCCCTTGGACTCTCTGTCACTGTTTCATCAGGTAGGTTCTTCAACCGGTACAAGCAGTTGACAACAATCAACTCATCTCTGTCAATTTTGATATCCTCATACTGAATAGTTTCCCAATTCTTTGCTATGACATTATACTCAAATGGGACATTAAATCTCTTGCAGTAATTTGCCAGGCGTCGCCCTGTCGCTTCAACCCTTTCTGAAGGCCGAAAACCTGGTTGGGGAAACTCAATTCCAGTAATGCGAAGTGTGGGAGGTCCACCATGTCTGTTGGAGAGGCCTTGGATCAAGCAAGGCCATTGGTATCCATAGAGAACGCCAAAATCAATGATGTGAAGCCTTGTTGCTTTCTCTGCTAGTTTTGCAATTGTTCGGTTAGCATAGAAATTTGACATCTTCTGGAAGGGGCATGCTGTAATGTAAGTCTGGTAAGCTCTCAAGAGATCAGCAGCTGACATCTCTGGGTTCAAGGGAACTCCTGCAGCCAAGCGTAGTTCAAGGCCATTGGCTAAGTAATGAGCTAATCTCTGGGTTCCATCACCATAGGGAGAAGAGTGCTGCCTTATCTGCCTGAGTTGCTCATTTGCAGTCCTTATGTCATAGCTCGCAACAGCTTGTGCACATTGAGTTAGCAGTGTCCATAAATCAACCCCTCCTGTATTGTCATCCGGTTTTTTCTTGCGTGTTTTTTTGCCTTTGGATCCTCTTGACTTCCTGTTAAACTGCAACTTTCCGCTCCCCTCTTTGTGCTCAGATTCCTGAGGAGAACAGGATTGAGACTCTTGCTTTTCACCTTGACAGAGCAGTACCTTATCAAACAGTTCAGGTAGCTCATATTCATCATCATAAACAGCTGATTGCTTGTTGCTCCTCCCTTCATCAAGATCATCGCCATCTTCCCGCAGACGATTTTTCTTGCTCCTTGATCCACTTGGTGAGCGACTTCCATCTTGGACTGAATCGAAACTCACATCCTTAGCCAGCTCCCTTGGTTCTATAGGAAATGATGAGCTGCTTTCTACATCTATGATTTCACCCTTTCCATTTGAAAGTAAAGGATTTGGAACTAAAAGGGTATATGCAGGAGATTCAGTAGCAGAAATTTGGATATGAGAGGATTGGAAAACATCTTGAACACAATTCCAATCTGAGCCAACCCAGTTGCTAGCAGCAACAGAGCCATTACTGCTGTGGTTACTGCCCTCATCTGGGTTCTCAACATTTTGGTAAACTGAAGTAAGAAGTGAATTGGCTGAAGAGGGATACTCTTGAACCAGGACATCATGTAAGGATTTTTCAGCAGCTTGGAGGGCCAAACAGTCCTGCAGCATGCAGGGCTTATTCTCCAACTCTTCCTCCATAAGCATCTCACTTATGTACTTGAGAATAGCATTGGAGGATTGACTGTCTGGAGAATCCACCTCTGAGCTGAAGCCCGACAATGAGGAGAAATCACTAGAAGGGTCTGGATTGACTAGAAAGAAACTGGGATCTGTGAAATCATGATCGGCTTCAAACTCAGTAACAATATTCTGATTCGAATAGGCCGAGACAGATCCTTGATCAAATATGAATTTGTTCATGGAACCGGGAATTTCATCCAGAAAGGTATCCATCAAGGCCACCAATCTAACAGGATTCAAGAAAAGTTAAATCTTACAAGAGGTGCAAATGGAAAAAAACAAACAAGATTCAGGTGAAAATGTTCAATATCAAACCTTGGATATCACTATGAGAATAGGAAATAACCAAAATGTACAAACAAAATCTTCAGATATGAAAAGCTTAGACTCGCAGGGTGCATATGAGAAATCACGGTAAATGAAGAGAGTAGGGAAGTGTTTATGAAAGTTTATATGTTACTGGATATTATTTTTATTCAAGTAGCCGCCAACTTAGAAAAATTCAGGGCTACAAAACCAGTCAAGTTTGGACTTCAGTGCTCAATATCTTAAACTATTAAGACAAGAATGGTGATGATTCTGATGAACAGATAATTTTGACCCTCAGTTTTAACAGACCACACCTTCCAGGAAATGAGAACGCAATATTTATCCTGAAAATGGATCAATGTTGTTGGAGGAAATTTTATAAAAAAAGAAAATATAAAGCATCACATTCTCTTTCCAACATTGAATAATTCTTTAATACATGCATTAATATAAAAAGCAATTAATTATCAGATTACTTGAATCTGCCTCATAAGTCAGCCAACTTAGTGCCAAATCTACCCTCAATTGCTTGTATTATATGGCCATTATCTCCGCCTCCTTTAACTTTTGCTTTCATTATTGTATAGCGTTTGGATTGTCATCAGCGGAAACAAAGGCTAATTTGCTGTCGCCATTGTTTATTACTAAATGAATCAATAATGTAGTCTCCATCATGATGAGCATAGAGAGATTATAGTAAACAATGAACAAGAGAAGAATCTTGGACTGTTATGATAAAGATCTTTTCACCCCTTGGGAACCAAAAGCACCACATCCATCTGTATGTGAAGTGCAAAAGGGAAGGGGACCAAAGATTGCATGATACTCCTTTTTTTTTCACTGTTGGATTCTTGTACAGGGCAGCCCTCTCACGGAGTGGGGTGGGACTCACATGTTGGGTTTGCATGCAAGTCCCATTATTTTATGAGAGGGCTGCCCTATACGACTGCCCTACTAAAGAGTAGAAGACAAGAATCAAACACTTACTGAGTATCTGACATTAGTATAGAGTAAGTACTCTACCACTAGAGCTAAAAGCTCACTAAGTACATGAGACGCATTATACAACCTGAAACAACACAAACAAATTAAGTTCTAAACTTTCTGCATTATATTTAAGGAAAGAAAAACCCTTGGAATGGTGCAGTGGTAGACCTGGCAATATCTTACACGACCCGTTAACACGACACGAATTCGCATGAAAAAATCAGTATTTGGGTCGAGCTTAATGGGTCGGGTTGAAAACGGGTGGACCCGTTAGTCACCCGTTTGCTTAACGGGTCGTGTCAGTATCATACGCGAATAACCCGTTAACCCGTTAAGAGGAAGGGCAATTTTGTAATTTACATTCTAAATCCCCAAAATCCCTAGCGCATAGTCTTCGTCTCTCTCGTTTCTCGTCTCTGTCGCTGCTTCACTTACGCACAAATATCCCTTGTTTCACAAAAATCCGAGTCGAATGGGAGCTGGCTTTGTTCTGGTATAAAAATAATAATAATAAGAGATGCCTTTGTGAGATCAGTAGCCACCTCCGACGATGACGAAGCCGAAGATTTTGGGTTGGAGAGTCTGATTTTGCAGCAGCCAAATCTGACGGGGACGTCACCTTTGGTCCAGTATCGCATCAAGATTTGTAGAACTTGGTGTTGACAGAGTCACACCTTGGGCACCTCAAGGTATGCTGGTTCAGATGGTGATGCGGCCTCAGCTCAGCCCACTCAATGAATCACTTTTACTTCAATTACTAAATATAATGTATAATTTGGATGATGTTTGTTTTATTTGTGGTGTTGTTTTCATGTTGTTTCCCTGTCTCGCATGAATGCTTGTTGTTTTTGTTAGTTTGCTTCCTTTTCCTGTGTTGAAGCTTTCCAATAATGAAGTTTCATCTTTCTCGACCAAAAAGGAGGAAGAGAGTTTTGGGGTGGTTTTGTCTGATTTTTTCATCTTTTTTTTTTTTTTTGGTTATTTTTTATTCTTAACGGGTGAAACGGGTCGTGTCGTGTTATTCGCGAATTTGAACGGGTCGTATTCGGATTTAGTATTTCCCACCCGTTAGCTTAACGGGTCGTGTCGTGTCAACCCGTTAACTTAACGGGTTAACACGAACACGACCCGAAACCCGCAAACCCAACCCGTGGGCTGCTGCCTTTAATCTATTCAAATCGTTCAATCATAAAAGCAGAAAAGTATTATTCAAGGGGATCCAATTTTGTCTGACATTTTATGATGATGGGACAGATTCATCCAATTTGATATGTATCTCTGCCTAGACACATTAAATTATTTGATTCCCACCCAACTTTAGTCTTATCATTTATCAATAAGATATGGTGGCGTTTTTCAACCAAAACTGTCCTTTGAATTTCCCAGAGAAAGGCTTTGACTTTTGATTGTTTCTCCATGTGGTTTGACTCATGCATTGAGGTTTCTTATGTGGCACACAAAATGATGTCATTTGCTTCTTTATTCATTTTCATATTTATTTGCCTCTCTGTTTCTTTGTCTGCTCAACAAGAGAAGGGAAACAAACAAGAATGACATAGAGAAGGAACAATACAACAGAGCAAGGCAAACAGACAAGACTATTGAAGTATTGCACCAGCATACCTAGCACCCACTTGCTAGTATTGACTGAGTCCAGTCCACCTTGTTACTCATGCATTTAACCCACATTCCAACCAAATTCCCAATAAAAAATAAAAAATCTCATTTGAATGGAATTTATAAATATATATTTCTTTTCAGTCCTCTTCTATTGAGAGATTATTTAAATAATTTTATTTGATGAACACCCTTTAGAGGACCCCTATGAATTTTTTTTCAACGATCCAAACCATCTATTTTTCAATTATTCATTTATAGATCATCCTTGCAAAAAATTAGTCAAATTGAAAATCATTAAAGCATCTAATTGAGACCAACAAAATTAATGAACATAGTACTTCAAAAAAGTACTCAAATTTCAATAATTTAATTGAATGATCAAATGATATTGGATTCAAGTGATTTTTTGTATAGATGATATTTGAATGAATATCTACAAACTATACGGTTTGGATTAGTGAAATATAATGCGTAATGGACCCTACAAGGGTGTCTCTCAAATAATTTATTTGAAGGATCCCTCAACAAAAGCTACATATATATGTATTGTCTGGCTGCCATGGTTTACCCACTAATTATTGGTGGAGGATGAAATCTTTATAGGTACCTTGGTGTTAGAATATAAAATGATTGATGGTCCATATTCTCAGTCATTGCTATTAGGTAAACTTTATCAAGAATATCTGAATATTAGAGTAAGAGAATTCTGACTTTGAGTCCTTAAATAGATGAAAGACTGTCGATGAGGCCTAGCAGTTAAATGGCACTGTAAATCTTTGGATATTTTGGCCTTTGGATATCCTAGTAGAACAAGTAAGAGGCAAGAGAGTAAGTTTGTAACTAGAGAAGCATAGAAATTAACTTGTTTATGAAAACAGAGTAAGTATCAAGAGGAAAAGACACACTCATCATCATTAACCTAATGGCTAAGTAGCTGTTTAGATTAACCCTCATTTCGATTATTTCTTTTACTGCGATTTCATCGCTGTGATTTTGATTGATCCGTTTAAGTTATTAAATCCGTTAAGCAATAGAAAAAATATATATCATTAAGTTTATTCCACATTACCTATGTAATTATTGATCTAGAGTTATATTTGCGCATGCAATCTGCCCTGAGGCTCCGGGAGCCAAGTTACTGCACTTAAAGACCATAGTATTGCAGAAGTTTCCAGGCTAAAATATTTTGGCCGCATTTTAATCATCCAAGAGTTTCGTTTGTCAAGAAGCTGAGATGAATAAATGCAAATTTACAATCAACTCATAAACCATAGCTACATTTTACATATAATACATAGGACACGACACAAAAAATCAAGAACAAATGAATACAGCTTGTAATAGTTGTATATTACTCTTAAAAACTCTCTCCTAGGACAGCCTGACACAGAAGGCCATTGTGAAACTCTTAAGCAGGCTTCCAAAAAGCAAGACCCATGATAATTCTTCCTTTCCATCCCTGCAGCATCCAGTGGCCATCTTCATCGATTCTAAAATCATTGTGATAACCCATCACCTTCAACATAGTTTTCACTTTCTTCAACAGCTCCTGGTCTAATGGGAGCTGCTTGAAGCCAGCCCTCTGATACCTAACCTGCCACTGCTTGTATGTCTCAGGCCTTTCAACTCTTTCCAGTCCCTCACACGCTATGACATTCATTATGTCTTTACCAAATACCGCCTTTTCAAACATCAGCCGCTGTTCATCTTCTCGAGGAATGGTGGCCTCAAACATATCAAACTGTGCAGAGAAGTGAAAGAGTGCCTCTCTGAACCGTGTGAGAAAGAAGGGTGAATTGTATGCCCCATTGATAACTCCATGAATGTACAGGTCTGGATTAATTCTCTTGATCAACTTTAGGACAGTATCTCTCGGACTGCTGGCCATCACTGTTTCATCAGGTATGTGCTTTAACCGGTGCATACAATTAACCACAATCAGCTCATCCCTGTCAATTTTAAGATCCTCAAACTGGATAGTTTCCCATTTCTGAGCAATGACTTTGTACTGAAATGGGACATTGAATCTCTTAGCATATTTATCCAAGCGGCGCCCCGTCTCTTCAACCCTCTCTGTAGGTCGAAAACCTGGTTGGGGAAGCTCAATTGCTGTCATCCGAATATTAGGAGGTCCACCAGGTCTCTTGGAGAGACGTTGGATAAAGCAGGGCCATTGGAAACCATAAGAAATACCAAAATCAATAATGTGAAGCCTTGTTGCCTTTTCTGCTAGTTTCATAATTGTTCTGTTGGAAAAGAAGTGTAACATCTTCTTGTAAGGGCAGTGAGTAACATACAACTGGTAAGCTTTTAAGATTTCAGCAGCCGGTGTCTGTATACTTAAAAGAGGCGAATACGATGGGGTTCTTGTGCCAGCCAAGCGTGCCTCTAGGCCATCAGCAAAGTAGTGAGCTAATCTCTCGGCTGCATCACCATAAGGGGAAGAGTGCTTCCTTATCTGCTTGAGTAGTTCACTTGCAGTTCGTTGGTCATAGCTTGCAACAGCTTGTGCACATTGAGTTAGCAGGGTGCTAAAATCTACTACTTCTCGTTTGTTATTCTGTTTCTTTGAACGCGCTGTTTTAGACCCTTTTGACTGCTTGTTAGGCTTCAACTTCCCACTTCCCTCATTTTTCAAAGGTTCATCATGAGAACAACACTCAGACTCATGATTCGCAGAACAGAGTAGCACCTTATCAAACATTTCTTGTGGCTCAGAGTCATCAGCAGAAGCAGCTGACTGCTTATTGCTTCTCCCTTCTTCTGCATAATCACCATCCTCCCTTTGATGATTTTTCTTTTCCTTCGATCTATTTGTTGAGTTGTAGCCATCATTTTCTCTCTTGGATGCTAAATTCCTGAACGGTGTGTTAGGACCTTGGGACATGAATTGGTACTTCTCCAAGTCAATAATTCCAAAATTTTCATTTGGAAGGAGCTTTCTAGCTTCCCCTACCCCTCCAAAATTCCCATAAAGTGAATCTGAAGCCAAAAGGGTATCAGGTGGAGACTCAACAAGAGAAGATTGGACATGAGAGGTTTCTGAAGAATCAAAAACCCAGTCTGTTTTTTCAGCCCTATAATCATTACTCCTGTGACAACTATGTGTTGAATCATCATCTGAGTTCTCAAAGCTTTGGTGGTCAGAGAGAGGGGGTTGGTTGGGTGAAGGAGGATCCTTCTGGTTAAGGACATCATAAAAAGATTTTTCAGCAGCTTGGAGGGCCAAACAGTCCTGCAACATACAGGGCTTACCCTCCAGGTCTTCTTCCAGAAGAATATCACTTATGTACTTGAGCACAGGCTGACTACAGTCACTAATGTCAAAAGTATCTCCATCTGAACCAGAGCTCAAAGAAGTACTTGAATCACTTGGATGGTCTGAGTTGGTTGGAAGGAAAGGAGGATTGGTGGGTTCATGATTTACTTGGAACCCATTTACAAGATTCTGATTAGAATGGACTGGAACTGAGCCATGGCCAAAGTGGAATTTTTCCTTGGAGACAGACAATCTTTCAAGAAGGGTATCCATAAAAACCACCACTTTAGCAGAAACTGTCAAGAAACTCAACAGTGATATTGAAATTTTGGAAATGAAGTGAAATTAAAGTTTGAATCTTATCCTATAATTCACAAACCAAATAAGAACTGGAGCCAATTGGGTAAGTGAGAAATACCCAGAAAATTGGAGAGAGAGAGAGAGAGAGAGAGAGAGAGAGAGAGAGAGAGAGAGAGAGAGAGAGATTCAGATCTGATGAATATCAGCAAACATGTTATGAACAGAAACAAGATTGAACAAACAAAAAGTTGAATGAAAGCTGAAACTCCTTAAAGATAAGAATAACTAGCAAGTATAGCACCGTACCTCTGTGTCTGTGATGTTGCAGAGTTACCTCATACCTGAGGAGAAAAAATACCGATCAGACAAAGTGACTGGATATATATAAAATAAATTATATATCTCCTCCTTTTGTTTTTCATTTTTAAACCAGCTATATACATGAACCTGCCTTCTGGGAAGGTCTTAACTCTTCTGGTAAAGTCAGCAGCCATCTTCTGGTAAAAATTGCAAACCAAAAATATAGGATGGCCAATCAGTTTTGGACATCAGCATCTTTAGTGTGCGGAAATGAAGAGGACATAAACGTAATTATGAACTGCACATGGGCTAACCAACAAAATGTCTAAATCCACGCGTGATTAATTTTGTTTTCCTGGCTGTGGTTGGTCCATTCCAATTTTGGGATAAGTGAAGATTCAACCATGTTAATTTTTAAGCAAACCACAAATTATATATGACATTATTTATAGTGTAGACTTGTAACTCAAGTGATTAAATTACATTTGAGTATCCTAGGATGTGTACATGTCATGTCATTTAATAAATCAGTCTATTAGATGTTGATTGTATGCATTACTTGTCACATTAAGTGGTACTCAAGTATGGTCCCCTTAAAATTACTTGAGCATTTAACCATGCGTTTGAAGTCACGTGAATCTCACTGAGCCATCATTTTTAGGTCTTCTCTTCAAAAGGGAAAAAGGGTGACAAATGAATCTCACTAAGCCATCTTCTTTGAGTCTTCTCTTTGAAACGTTTTATCTTTTATCTTCTTTTTTTCTTTTTTCTCTTAAGATAATGACATGTGACAGGTCCATTAGAGTACAATTACCTAACATGTTACCCTTTTTTTTAATTTAAAAAAAAGAAAAAGAAAAAGAGAAAGAAAAGGGTTGAATCATGAAGTTACAAGTCTAGCAGTGGAAGAAGTGGTTTTAGGTGACTAAATTTATTCATGGAACTATAATGAACGTTGCACCAAGTGCATTCCATTCCTCATATATTTGAGGTTAAATGAAGTCATTGCTGGAGGCAGGATAGCACATTCATCATCATCATCATCAAATTTAACAATGGAATAACAATCTTAAATTTAGGTTGCATTATTCTTCATTGCTCTCACAAGATTTAGGTCTGTTCCTCATTTGTAGTAGAATTGAAAATTTCTTTTACTGCGTATCATTCTTTTGATTTCAAGTTCATCTGCTTGCATTTTGATTGCTTGGTTCAAAAGATACATATCATAGATCAAGCTCAATTGGCAGATTTAAAAAAATTGAAAATTTAAGATTGAAAAAAAAAGGGTACAGGAAACATTGAAGATCAAAGAGAATACAAATTGTGAAGTGGCTATTTGCTCTTAAAAACATTCTCCTAGGACATGACCCTGCAGTGAAATTGTGAAACTCCTATGCAGGCTTCAAAGCAGAAAGAGCTAAGATAATCCTTCCTTTCCATCCCTGCAGCATCCACTCACCATCATCTTCAATTCCAAAATCCTTATGATACCCCATCATCTTCGACATAGTCTTCACTTTCTTAAAGAGCTCCCGGTCTAATGGGAGCTGCTTGAACCCAGCCCTCACATACCTAGCCTGCCACTGCTTGTATGTCTCAGGCCTTTCAACTCTTTCCAGTCCCTCACACGCTATGACATTCTTTATGTCCCTGCCAAATATTGCTCTTTCGAACAACAACCGATGTTCATCGTCACGAGGGACAGTGGCCTCATACATATCGAAGAGCGCATGGAAGTGGAAGAGCAACTGTTTGAACCGTGTGACAAAGGCAGGTGCATTGTATGTCCCATTGACAACCCCATGCATGAAAAGGTCTGGATTAATTCTCTTAATCAAATTTAAGACAGCGTCTCTTGGATTGTTCATCATTACTGTTTCATCAGGAATTTGCTTTAACCGGTGCATACAGTTAACCACGATCACTTCATTTCTGTCAATTTGAAGTTCCTCCAGTCCGATGGTTTCCCATTTCTTAGCAATGACATTATACTCAAATGGGACACCATACCTCTCAGAATATTTAGCTAAGCGGCGCCCTGTCTCTTCAATTCTTTCGGCTGGTCGAAAACCTGGTTGGGGAAGCTCAATTGCTGTGATACGAAGATTTGGCGGTCCACCAGTTTTCTCTGAGAGACTTTGGATAAGGCAGGGCCATTGTAAACCATAAGAAATACCAAAATCAATAATGTGAAGCCTCGTTGCCTTCTCTGTTTGTTTCATAATTGTTCTGTTGGCAAAGAAGTGTAACATCTTCTTGAAGGGGCATGCAGAAACATACACCTGATACGCTTTTAAGATTTCGGTAGTTGATGCGTGCATAAAGAGAAGAGGTGGATATAATAGGGATCTCGCACCAGCCAAGCGTGCCTCTAGGCCTTCGGCAAAGTAATGAGCTAATCTCTGGGTTGCATAACCATAGGGGGAAGAATGCTGTCTTATCTGCTTGAGAAGTTCACTTGCAGATTGTTGGTCATAGCTTCCCACAGCTTGTGCACATTCAGTTAGCAGTTTGCACAAGTCTACTACTTGCCGGTTGCTGTTCGGTTTCTTTGAACATTTTGTCTTAGATCCTTTTGACTGCTTGTTGTGCTGCAACTTCCTAGTTCCCTCAGCGTTTAAAGATTCATCATGAAAACAGGACTCAGATTCAGGATTCACACCCTGTAATACCTTATCAAACATTTCTTGGAGATCAGAATCGTCAGCAAAAGCAGCTGACTGCTTGTTGCTTCTCCCTTCTTCTGTGTAATGACCTTCCTCCCTTTGATGATTCTTCTTTCCCTTTGATCCATTTGTTGAGTTGTAGCCATAATTCTCTGGTACGGATGCCAACTTCCTGTACAGTGTGTTAGGACCTGGAGGCGTACACTGGTACCCCTCAAGGTCAATGATTTCATTTCCTTCCCCTACACCTCTAAAATTCCCAAGACTTTGCGTATCAGAAAATGAATCTGAAACCAAAGTGGTATCAGAGAGAGACTCAACAGGAGAAGTTTGGACATGAGATGTTTCTGAAAAATCCCAAACGCTGCCTGTCTTAGCAGCAATAGAGCCATTACTGCTCTGAAAACCACCATCTGAGTTCTCAAAGCTTTGATGCACAGAGAAAGAGGGTTGGTTAGGTAAAGGAGGATCCTTCTGATTAAGGGCATCATAGAAAGATTTTTCAGCAGCTTGGAGGCCCAAAATGTCCTCCAACATGCAGGGCTTACCCTCCAGGTCTTCTTCTAGAAGAATATCACTTATGTACTTGAGCACAGGAAGATTGCAGTCACTACTGTCAACAGTATCACCCTCTGAAGAAGTGCCTGAATCACTAGGACGATCTAAGTTGGCTGGAAGGAGAAGTTTATTGGTGGGTTCATGATTTACTTGGAGCCCATTTACAAGGTTTTGATCAGAAGCCACTGAATTTGAGCCGTGGACAAAATTAAGTTCTTCCATGAGAACAGAAAAAAACAACCTAACTAGCAGGATTTGGTCACAATTTTTATTTTTCAAGAAACTCAACTGTAATATGAAATTTTGGTGCTGATGACCAAGAAGCTTTGGGAAAAAAAGAAAGAAAAGAAAAGCAAAGTATGAAACTTATGTCATAATTCACTCACCAAATAAAACTGGAGCCAATGGAACAGCGAGAAACAGCCAGAAAGAGAGTGCAAGATTCAGCAAAAAACAGAAAACAGCTTATGAACAGGAATAAGATTGATCAGACAATAATGGAATAAACTCTGAAACTCATTCAAGAAGGAAACTAAGAAATATTGCAGAGTACCTGATATATTTCTGGGACATTAAAATTATCAGACAGATGCTTGGTTTCTTTTTTTTGTGAATAAAATCTGGAGAATCATCTTCAAAGCAATGAACCTTCTGAGAAAGTCTTAACTAAAAAGTATGACAAAGTCAGTCGTCAACTTATAAGAAAAAGGCAGTCCATATAGGAAGGCAATTTTAGAATTCAGTGTCTTTGGTGTGTGAAAGTCAAAAGAGCAAATATTTCTTGGGTTCCCACCATATACAGCTATCTATTGAAATTTTTGGCAGCAGTGAAATCTGAAAATGTTAATTTTTAAGGTAACAAAAGAATAAAAGTTAGCACTCCCAACTGATCATCTCTTTTATAAAAAATAAAAAGTAAAACATCAAATTCAAAAAAGCCGTCTTCTTTTGCACTGTTTTGTTTTGTCCTTTTCTGTTTGTTCAAATGCGTAAAGATATGAAAAGGGTCTTGTGGGTGAGAGATCAACACACAAATCTTTTATTAGAAATGAAGATGGAATTATGTGCTACTACATGCGAGAGGCACTGTATGAACAATGCAGTCTTCCACGACCTTGCTGACCATCTTCAATCGTTTATTTTTCATTGCTCTCAAAGATTTGAGGTTGTTAAGCATCTTCTAGCTTACCTACATGGCTCTTTTATTTTGGGTTCATAGCTTGAATTTTAATAAACTGTTTCAAGTCTTTTAAGGCATAACAAGATTTAGAAGTTAAATATGTGCATTAGCCAAGAAACCCTACTTAGAACCGCTAATAGTGTAAATGTAGGCGGACTACAACAAATCGCATTTGAGCTTCCTCAAATAGTGCTATGCTCCAGCTTAGATCAAAATATTGCAAATCCCAGATCAAGCTCCCAATGGAAGAGATGAATAAATAAAATTAACAATGAACTTATTACAACATGACAAAACGGTAAACACAACTTCGTAAATGGAAGGAAGATTAAAGGAAAAATTCAAGAGCAAAGAGACTAAAGATTTTAATAGTGGTCTAGGCTTTTTTCCAAAAGGAAAGAGCCATAATGGTTCTTCCTTTCCATCCCTGCAGAATCCAATGGCCCTCTTCATCAATCCTAAAATCATTATGATAACCCATAAACTTCAACATTCTCTTCACTTTCTTCAAAATCTCTTGGTCTAGTGGGAGTTGCTTGAACCCAGCCCTCACATTCCTAACCTGCCACTGCTTGTATGTCTCAGGCCTTTCAACTCTTTCCAGTCCCTCGCACGCTACGACATTCAATATGTCCTTACCATAAACAGCTTTTTCGAACATCAGCCGCCGTTCATCTTCACGAGGAACACTGGCCTCAAACACATCAAACAGTGCAGAGAAGTGGAAGAGTGCCTCTCTGAACCGTGTGACAAAGAAGGGTGAATTGTATGTCCCATTCACAACCCCATGAATGAATAGGTCTGGATTAATTTTCTTGATCAATTTTAGGACAATGTCTCTAGGACTGTTCACCATCACTGTCTCATCAGGTATGTGCCTTAGCCGGTTCATACAATTCACAACAATCACCTCATTTCTGTCAATTTTAAGATCCTCAAATTGGATTGTTTCCCACTTCTGAGCAATGACATTGTACTCAAATGGGACATTAAATCTCTCAGCATATTTTTTCAGGCGACGCCCTGTCTCTTCAACCCTTTCTGTAGGCCGGAAACCTGGTTGGGGAACCTCAATGGCTGTGATACGAAGCTTAGGAGGTCCACCCGGTCTCTTGGAGAGACGTTGGATAAAGCAGGGCCATTGGAAACCATAAGAAATGCCAAAATCAATAACGTGAAGCCTTGTTTCTTTTTCTGCTAGTTTCAGAATTGTTCTGTTGGCCAAGAAATTTGACACCGTCCTGAAAGGGGATGAAGTAACAAATACCTCATAAGCTTTTAAGATTTCAGCAGCTGATATCTGCATACTAATAAGGGGAGAGTATGATGGAGTTCTGGCTCCAGCCAAGCGTGCCTCTAGGCCATCTGCAAAGTAATGAGCTAATCTCTGGGTAGCATCACCATACGGGGAAGAATGCTGCCTTATCTGCTTGAGTAGTTCACTTGCAGTTCTTTGGTCATAGCTTGCCACAGCTTGTGCACATTGAGTTAACAGTGTGCTCAAATCCACCAGTTCCCTGTTGTTATTCTGCTTCTTTGAACCCGCTGTTTAGACCCTTTTGACTGCTTGTTGTGCTGCAACTTCCCACTTCCCTCAGTTATCAAAGATTCATCATTAGAACACGTTTCAAATTCATGATTCCCAAGACAAAGTAAAACTTCATCAAACATTTCTTGTGGCTCAGAGTCGTCAGCAAAAGCAACTGGCTGCTTGTTGCTTCTGCCTTCTTCTGGATAATCACCATCGTCCCTTTGATGATTTTTCTTTCCCATTGATCTATTTGTTGAACTGTAGTCATCATTGTCTGGCCTCCTCATCAGTGTGTTAGTAGCTGGAGGCCACTGATCAAGACCCGGAGGCATTAACTGGCACCCCTTTAGATCAATAGTTTCAAATTTTACATTTGGAAGAAACTTGCTTGCTTCCCTTAACCCTCCAAAATACTCAAGCCTTTGCATCTCAGAAAGTGAATCTGAATCCAAAGCAGCATCTGGTAGAGACTGAACAAGAGAAGATTGGACATATGAGGTTTCAGAAGGATCAAAAACCCAGTTTGTCTTTGCAGCAATAGAGGCATTACTGCTATGACAACTATGTGGGGAATCATCATCTGAGTTCTCAAAGCTTTGGTGCACTGAAAGAGGGGGTTGCTTGGGTGAAAGAGGGTCCTTTTGATTAAGGACATCATAGAAAGATTTTTCAGCAGCTTGGAGGGCCAAACAGTCCTGCAACATGCAGGGCTTACCCTCCAGGTCTTCTTCTAGAAGAATATCACTTATGTACTTAATCACAGGGCAATTGTAATCACTAATGTCGGTAGTATCTCCATCTGAACCAGAGCTCAAAAAAGTATTTGAATCACTAGGGTGGTCCAAATTGGTTGAAAGGCAAATTGGACCGGTGGATTCTTGATTTACTTGGAACCCATTTACCAGATTCTGATTAGAATAGAATGAAGCTGAGCCATGCCCAAAATTGAATCTTTCCGAGGAAAGAGAATATCTTTCAGGAAGGGTATCCATAAAAACAATCTATCAACCAATTTACCTGGTCAGATTTTTAATTTTTCAAGAAACCCAACTGTGATATGAAATTTTGGAATAGAAAGGAAGTGAAATGAATATTGGAATCTCAAGTTATGAGACTCACCAAATAAGAACTTGACCCAATTGGGCAAGTGAGAGATACCCAGAACACAGACAGATAGCAAGATTCAAATTTGCACAATATCAGCAAACTGGTTTATGTTATGAACAAGATAAAGATTGAACAAACAAAAATTGAATAAAATGATGAAACTTCTGGAATAACTAAGAAATATAGCAGAGTACCTCGCACCTGAAGAAAATCATAATTACCAGACAGCTATAATGGACTCTGAACGTGTATATATACATGGGAGAATATGCTTATCCTCTGAGAAAAACAGAAGCTGGAAGATCCATCTTCATAGCAATGAACCTTCTGGGAAAGCCTCGTTGAACAACCGCCACTTTTCTATATTATTACCAGCCTACAGACCACATAGGATAGACAATGAGCTTTTGACATAAAGTCTTTTCAAGCTTGTGGAAGAGTCTAGCGGACCATCCATTACGTACACCACAGAGTACAAATCCACAAAGTTCTCAAAGTCGAATCCAGGCGTGGTTGACAATTAACAAACTTTTTGACTACTAATTATAGTTTTCTGTTCAAATTAATAGAACAGTAGAATAGAAGAATAGAAGATTGACTATGTGAATTTTTAAGGTAACTGATGGATCACGGTCTGGACATAGGTCACTCACAACACACACGAACACTCAAGTTTATGGTTAATACAAACGAATATATATCGTAGTAAATTCGTGCCACAAAATAAATTATTTCATTAATCATCAACCAAAACTCTTCTACAAATATTACGCCAGTCTTATTTATAGGCTTTACAAGATTTGGGCACCAAGGCTACTTGGTCCAAAAGTAAACTAATTAATTATAAAATCACACATAAATAATGAAAGATATCCTAAAACTATATAAATAAGAAAATAATAATATCTCATGAAATAACTAATTAAATGGTAAATATATGTCTTGATCCACCGCCTATGCTCCTACATCAAACTCCCCCGGTTGGAAAGAATTCATCCTCGAATTCAAGCCTTTCATTGAGGAAAAATCCGAATAAAATCTTCAATTGCTTCATATTGATTCTGGATCTTTTAGCACCCAATTGAAACCTTCCTTCCCAATTAAAAAGATAGTTAGAATATTTGGTTATTCTTGGTTTCTTTTTACTCCCTCTAATAATGCAAATGTTTCTCTTTTGAACCTTCAATCGATTGACAAAATCAACCAAATTCTTGGCAACTTTCCGAGTGAAAACATTAATACCCATAAAATCAATAATATCTTCGGAAATTTTCTCAATTCCCATTTCTTCACTGTCCTGCTCAATAAATTGCTTATCAAATTGCTTTGAATGCCCAAACAATTTTCATTGCAATTTTCACACTTGCAATGATCAGATATTGGAGGTAAATCTAAATTTAATAAATTTGGCGAAGAACAAGATGCACCAAAATTACTAAATCCATTTGTACCTTTAAAGACACAATGAGAATCAATGTGCCCCTATTCACTTTACTCACACAACGGAGCGCAACAATGAAAATGGCTATCTCCCTCGTACCCTCCATCGAGACTTCCACATCTTAGAGTGTCAATGTGAGCTACTCGATTCATATAAGGGTTAATCCCTCCCTATTAGAACTCTTACCTATCCGGGTTGGAGCTTCAATGCGAGCGATGCATTTTGTAAGTTGATGTAGCATCCTCCTAATTTCCTCCATGTCGTTGTAGTTGTCGACACGACTCTCCAACCAAAAACCTACCCGAGAACTTAGATCTTGAGTCGTAGCTCTTATATCAATTTATGGGGATCGGGGTTCGGACATAGGTCACCAATAACACACACGAACACCCAAGTCTAGGGTAGTCCAAATTCACATATATCATAACAAATTCAGACCACAAATAAACTATTTCATTAATCATCAACCAAGCATAAGACTTAGGAACCAAGACTACTTGTTTTAAAAATAAACTAATTATAAATAAAATCACACATAAATAATAAAAGATACTATAAAACTACCTAAATAAAAAAAATAACAATATCTTATAAAATAACTAATTAAATGGTAAGTATATATCCAGATCCTCCCCTATGCTCCTACATTAATAACAAAAGGATAAAATTTGGTTTATGTGAAATGGAAAATATATAACAAAAACACAATCAAGTGTGAACCAAATGAAGGTTCCCCAGTCTAAGAAACAAAACAACCAAAATCACCAATTCATAAACGTGTGACGTATAAGGATATTCACTAAAAACTTGTATCAACCTAGCACTTAATAATAACAACACCAAACAAAATAGCTCCAAGTATTTCGTTTTAAAACTAGCATATTTAAATCAGTAATTAGTTCTCATCGCCAACTTATACTATAACTAGACCTAGTTGCATTTTATTGGAATTGGAAGAATAACAAAAATATATTTTATTTTATTTTTTTGTTTCTAAAGTAACTCTCATCAACCAACACTATAGCTCATGCTTTACCCAAACGTTTCTGGTTCACCCCAACATTCTCCACTTGCCCGACTGTTGCTCAGTAGTTTTTGGATATCAAACGGACCTCTCCAGAATGTCTTGGAACGAGCATGAAGAAATTAATAATACTTTTTTATCTTTTGAGTTGGCCTGACGGATAGGTCGCTCAAGACCTTTGGTCTCTACCCCGACTCAATGAAAAAAATGGGATCACTTCTTATGGACTCGTTGAGAATGATTTTAATCTAGTTCATAGCCTAGTAGAAATAAAAGGCGATCTAGGCCTTGAGGAGCCTCTAAAATATCTTTTATATCATGACCAATGCCCAATTGGTTCTATACATGTGACTCGCTACCATGAAAAGAATTGCAATAGCTAAATGATGGTGTGTAATATCGGTCAGCCATAGATCTCCAGTTTTGTTGAGGGAGCAACCCCATGTTTCACCTTGAATTGGTCAATTATGGGGAATTATATATATGTTTCCCTTTTATATTATAATAGTATATATAGATTTTTTATTTTTCTTAGAAGAGAGAAAGGGTACGCTTTCTAGAAGATTTGCTCGAGGCTGCTTTCATCTGAGATGAAATACGTTTAAGTGCTTAGCTTGCCGGTTGAACTCCTTTCCGGGAGAGAGACAAAAGTACCAACTTGCGACTCCGAAGAGCACAAATCTCACAAAATAATTCAAGAGTAAACATATGCGGTGGCTCCTAAATGCACTTCTCTCCTACATCTGATCTCAACCAGGATCCCATTTTTTCATCGACATGTAGGGTGAATTCTAAGGTCCCATATTCTGGTTGTAAAGCGGAAGAGGAGGGAGAATGGGCACAACCCTAAAGAAATATTCTCATAATAAAATATGTCGAAATTTTTTGCGAAAATTTCTGAAATAAAAAATAAATGTTCAATAGGAAAACAAGTTAAGTTGATCGGTTAATTCAATAAGAAATGGGCTTTAGCACTTGATTTCGTTGGTACCACCCAACTGAATCCAATTCAATTGTTTACTTATTCAATTTCAGGGAATTATCCCACCAATTAACTCTAGATTTTTGCATCCACAATAACTCATCTTAATCCATGATTTCGCACAATTCATCTTGCATATCCCTCTTAAGATTCACTAAAAATGGGTTAGCTTTATTCCAATTTTGATTTGCCGCCTACTTATTTTATGGCTTTAATTTGAGCTGCGGATTCTACCTTAGAAACAAAAATACCCATATTAATGGTCATTGAATTGCATGTATGTTGTATATTAAATCTACCAACACATCTAATAAATGCAATCCAACAACCGAAATTAAAAATATATAACTAATCCTTAACGTGCTTATCTCCTACGTCTAACTACTGATTAGGTACTAAATAAAAGTAAAACCTCACATGTTGGTTCTATGACAACTTTGAAAGTTAAAACCTCACATGTTCTTTTTCTTTTCATTCTTGTTAAGATACATTGACCAATATTATTCTATATATATAATAATATAGAATTTCAAGGTCAACTCAACTCATTTTCTTATATCATTGCGTTATGTTATTAATCAACTTAACTCATTCTATTGTACCATCCCGTTATGTTATTAATCAATTCATATTATAACACGTGTTTTATAAAGTCATTCACTCATGTTATAGTACTTAACACTACATAGTGATGCAACGGTCAAACCCAAATCCTTTTTCTAGATGACTAGTTTTTGGTGAATGCATGATCATCATTTATTTGAAATCATAATAGTCTTCCTCTTAATCTACTTTTGTAATTTTCATCATATTATAGAATTTACCTGCTGGGAGGTCCAAATAAGACCATCTTTAAGACTGAGACGGTTACCCAAATTTGTTGTCCAAGGAAATTGGTTTTATACAGAGAGCATGGTCATTGAACAAGAGCACCAGTTTGTTTACTTGTACATAAAGATAAAGCATCCCGAAGAACAAAGACAAAAGCAGAAGCAGCTGTCTGATGGCAATACACAAATCAATTTAAATCAAGTTTAATAAAATTCTCATAGTGGATAGGAATTGATATGTATCAAATGTATATTGATGGCGAAATAAGATGGGTGATGTTGTTTGGACAGTGACTGGCGGCTCAATTCAGAATACATATCATCAAACCTTAGCTTCAATTAAATACATAAAAGTTTATATATGCCTTTTTTTTTCTTTTTGGTCAATAAATGTTCATTAGACAGCCGCGAAAACTCATCTTAAAGAAGAACAAAATTAATGAAGTTCTAACGTTTAATCCCTGATATTTTAAAGAATTAGCACCAATTTTTAATTTGAGTTAGACACCTAATTATGAAAATTTACGCATATATATATAGAGAGAGAGAGAGAGAGAGTGCCACGGCCGTCACCCTCAGGGCCATGCCCACTGATCATCTCTTTGATC